CCAAGGGCACCCCCCACCCTGCCCAGAAGCAGGCAAGAGAGCATGACAAAAACACCACTTCTGTGCGGGTGGCCCACCACAGCCACTGCCACAGGAGCCACAAAAGTGGCTCAATGCCACAGCAGTAGCTACAGCCACTGTGCAGGCAGCCCACCCAGCACTCAACTGCACTGACACAAGGAGAGTCACCAGCAGAAACCAGAAAAAAAAGAGGACATCTCTCTCCTCAAAGCCCACCCCAGAATAATAGAAGCAAGTGCTCTAACAGATGACCAGACATCAACATAGAGATACTAGAAATATGAAAATCCAAGAAAATATGACACCACCAAAAGAATACAGTAATTCTCAAATACCAGGCCCTATAGAGCAAGAAACCCTTGAAATGACTGAAAGGGAATTCCTAGCAACAATTTTAAGGAAACTCACTGAGATATGAGAAGACTCAGTTAGACAACACAGTGAAATGGGGAAAAAAATCCAGGATAGGAAGGAGGAAATTTACAAAGAGATTAATACCTTAAAAAAGAATGTAGCAGAACTCAGGGAACTGAAAGATTCACTCAACAAAACAAAAAACACTACCAATATCTTAAGCAGCAGACTAGTAACAAGGAGAAGAAAGAATTGCTGATCTTGAAGATAGTCTTTTGGAAATAACCCAGGTGGACAAAATAAAGGAAAAAAGAATTTTTAAAAATGAAGAACATCTAAGAGAGCTAGCAGACAACCTTAAGTGCACAAACATTCAAATTGTGGGTGTTCCAGAAGAGAAGAAGAAAGGAAAAGGCACGGAAAACCTATTCAATGAAATGATAATGGAAAACTTCCCAGGTATAGGGAGAGACATGGACCTTCAGATCCAGGAGGCTCAAAGATCCCCAAGCAGATTCAACCCAAAAAGATCCTCTGCAAGACACATTATAGTCAGACTGGCAAAGCTCAAAGACAAAGAGAGAATCTTAAAAGAAGCAGGAGAAAAGCTTCAAGTCACCTGTAAGGGAGCCCCTATCAGACTAACAGCAGACTTCTCAACAGAAACTCTACAGGCCTGAAGAAAATGGGATAATATATTCAAAATACTAAAAGAAAAAAACTGCCAGCCAAGAATACTATACCCAGCAAGGCTATCCTTCAGAAATGAGGGAGAAATAGTGTATTTTCTACACAAACAATAACTGTGGGAGTTCACCACCACATGACTGGCCCTGAAAGAAATCCTTAAGGGAGTCCTGCATTTGGAATCTGAAAAACAATAATCACTACCATGATTACACAAGAAAGAACAAAATCCACTGGTAGGACAAAAATGCAAAGGATAAAGAGAAAGAAACTAAATCTTACCACCACAAAAAACCGTAATGACAATGTAATAATGTCACTGCTTTATTTCTGATTTTAGTAATTTCAGTCTTCCCTCTTTTATTATTGGTCACTCTAAATAAAAGTTTGCAAAATTTTTTGGTCTTTTTAAAGAGTCAACTTTTGGTTTTGTTGATTTTCTCTATTGTTTTTTAACTCCCTATTTCATATATTTGTGTTGTACTCTTTGCTATTTCCTACTCATATTTGCTTTTGGTTTAGTTTGCTTTTCTTTTTCTATTTCTTTAAGGTAGAAGTTTACATTACCAATTTGAGATTTTTCATATTTTTAATATAGATGTTTACAAGTATAAATTTTCCTCTAAGCACTGCATGAGCCCTGCATTCTATAAATTTTGATATGTTGCACTTTGATTTTTATCTCAAAGTACTCTAATTTCCCTGTGACTTTTCTTTTTAAGCATTGTTTATTTAGGAGAGTGTCATTTAATTTCCATACATTTGTGAATTTTCTAAATTTCTTTATGTTATTGTGGTCAGAGAATGTATTTTCTATGACCTTAGTCTTTTTAAATGTATCAAGACTTGTTTTGTGACAAAAAAAACCCCAAAACAACAACAACAAAACAAACCTCCTAAGCAGAGAGCACACATGCCATCAGGGAAACTATTGGGAACACAGGTATAGTGGAGGACAGAGTAAGCAAAGCCAAATCTCAGAGATGCCTTGCTCCCAATGACTTTCAAGTCCTTCCTTGCCTGCTCATAGTCCTACAGTCAACCCCCCCTTTCTTAAAGGTGTTTGAAGTCATATTCTTTGCAACCAAGAGCCTAACTTCACACATCAAGGTTCTTGGCTTTACCAAATGTGAAGGTTTGAGGGATGTCCTTTTGAGATTCCTTCTAGCACTCTAGAGATGCTCCCCCTTTCCAATGCTATTACTCTATTTGAGTGATGGGAGGGGCAGAAAATTCTTCAGGTGTTGCAAGTGCAGCCCAGACTTTCCAGGGTCACAGCTCTGGTGGTGAGCTGTGCCTTCAGTGAAATTTCCCCACTATGCATGGTGGTGTCTGAGTGGGCACTTGCTTAGGTCCCTGCAGAAATTGTGATTTGAAATTGTGCCCTTGAGCTCCCAGAGGGCACTGATCTTCATTCTCTCTGAATTCACTAACAGGAACGTAGTGCCTGGAGGGGAGTAAGTGCTCAATACATAATAATTGAAAAACAGAGCACTTGCACGTAATCTTTTTTTGATTCTTAAAACTTTTGGGAGAGTTTTGGTTTGTTTTTACAATCAGTCCCATTTCACATTTGAGGAAATAAAATTCAGTGATGTTAAGTGACCTGGCAGAGATCAAAAAGTTAAATCAGTGGTGGATCAAAACTCTCCAAAAGGATATAATACCCAAGTGATAACCCAAGTTCTCTTGCTTCCACAGCAAAAATTCTAAATCATTTTTCCTCATCCCACAACCACTGATATAGCTTAGATCTTCACATTTCTAACCTCCTGTATTAGTCCATTTCTGTTGCTTATAACAAAATACCTGGAACTACATGATTTATAAGAAAACAAAATTTATTGCTTAAAGTTTTGGAGGCTGGGAAGTACAAAGTCCAAGGAACACTTATGATGAGGGCCTTCTTTGGTGGTAGCTTTACAGCAATGTGGGAGTCTTACACGGCAGAAAATGGTGGAGCAGAAAGAGAAACTCACATGCTCTCCTTTTAAAGCCCTCAGAACCCTGCCCCTGACCACCATCACTAATCCATTCACTACAGCATGCCCTGCAATCTCATCACCTCTTTAAGGCCCCACCTTTCAATTATCATAATAGGATTTCCCACCCTCAACAATTACAGTGGGAATTAAGCTTCTAATGTATGAACTTTGGGGGAAACAACTCAGTCAATCCACAGCATCTCCCAATAGATCGTCCCCAGTGTATCTCCCATACCACTACCAAAGTTAACTTTCCAAAACGCAAATCTGGTCAAGTCTATTGCATACAAGACAAGGGCCCAAACTCTCCTGGTTTTCAAAGCTCTCCATGATTGGGCCTCAGGTTGCTTTTCTAGTCTCATTTCTATCATCGTATTCCATTCATATCAGTTATGGTATTAACATGCCATTTGTTTCTCTTCCATGACCCATTTTTAGCTTTTTCCCAGCCAGCTATGTGTATGTACGTAAGTATATAAAACTATGCCATACATACAAGAGTATGGGTAACAAATTTTTGGCTTAGATTGTTAATGAAAGAGCAATCATGCTCCCAGCTAAAGAGCCACATTACCAAAATTCCTTGTAAAACATGCTAGAATGCCCTTCGAGGCCTTAGTCTGCATAGTGAATTTAGGCTTTGGAACCTTGGATTAAGTTTACCTAATCCGGAAAGCCTCCACTGAGGCCCCTGAGGGATACTTACTGCTTCCATTGTACTTCATTATGGCATTTATAACCATACTACATTTGCTTACTTGTTTGCCTGTCCAGTAGGTTGAAGTTGGAAAATATTTAATCTCTGAATCCCTAGCAACCAGTATATAGGCTAGTCACACAGCAAATGCTCAATAAATGGGGTGTCCAATTTGCCTGGGAGACCCCTGGTTTATGCCTGATGTCCTGGAGTAGCTATTAAGTGCTTTTTTCACTCATGAAAGTGTCCTAATGTAGATAACCAAATATATGATCACCTTCTCAATAATGTTGAGTGAATAGATGAAGTAACAAATGGAGAAAGATTTTAACTGACAGAATTCTAGACAGGGAAAGCAGATATATTAAGATTCCCAAAGAAAAACTCAACAATTGGCCACTGTACCTCTTTCTCCTCTAGGGTTGTTTGACTCTCCTGGGGACAGAGATGAATTTTCACAGACCAGATACTCAGTAATCTTTATTGCATAAGTAAGTTGAAAAATGTTAGCATATTCCTACTTCAAGAAAACTTAGATGTAAAATGTGAATTTATAGTACATATCAATGTGGCAGAGATTATTAAACAATATCTAAGTTTACTACTTGATGAGACCTCCCTGGTACAGAAATTTAAAGAGCTGAATTTACTACTTATTGAAAATCAGAAATGCAGATTAAATACTCCTAAAATGATAACAGTCAACTGGGACATATGATTTTAAAAATAGATGCACTGTTTTTGAAGGAATCTCTTAAATATATATATATACACACACACATATACACATACACACACCAGTTAGTTGCCATTGCTATTAGGCAAAGATACAATCTCCTTGAGTTTTGTATTATTATAAATACAAATTTCATTTAAACCTCTTTTGTTATTCAAGTAGAAAAAACTTTTTTTTTTTTTTCCTTTTTGTCTTTTTTCGTGTCCGGCAACGGATCGCAACCCTCAGTGTCGCGCCCGTACCGGACCGGGACCGGCAATGGGATCGCAACCCTTGGTGTTGCGGCCGCACCTCGCTCAGCCAGTGAGCGGGAACTGGTCTGTATGTGGGATCCGAACCCTCGGCGGGAGCGCCGCCATGCTCCCAAGTGGCGCACTGTAGCAGTGCGCCACCGGGCCGGCCCAGAAAAAACTCTTTTTAACTACTGTTACACACAAAGTGGAAAGTGAGGCAACCCATCTATTTTGACAATTATCTTCTCTTTCTCCAACAGTGCCATCTGCTTTGCAAGTCAAGGTACTTCCTTGTAAATAAGGCTTTTAATAAATTACAAATATGTAATAGGTTCTTGTCCATCTTTTTCCTAACTTCTTAATGCACTGTTGCACAGCAACAATTTTCTTTTCTGCTGCTTCTTTGTTGGAAGTCTGAGAGTCTGAAATCTGCACTGACTTGGTTGACCTTGGGAATTCTTTTGGTACTGGGGGTGCAAATATCCATTGTAGAAATCAGTAGCTGTTAGTGTTTTCTTAAGCATCACTGATCGAACACCTATCCAGCCATCCTAAAGGGCAAAAGACAAACAGTGATGGCAAAATGAAAATCTAAATAAATTTTAGTTTATAAAATTTTTATCATGGAAATAAACAAGCCTTTACTAAATGCCTAGCTGCAAATAGCACTGTTCTAAGTAACATATACAATTCTTCGACTCTGTTTATTACTAAGAAGACAGAATAAATGTACAGACCTGTATAAACCTAGATAAACATAAACGGAGCAGAATAAAATGTTATATTTGTGCTTTACAGTTTTCAGAGGATATCTACGTATCTTAATGTGACTGGACATAAAACAACAAATCTAAAAGGCAGGCAGATCCAATATCATCCCCATTTTAGAAGAGGAAACTGATGCCCAGAGAGGTAGGTGATTTGTCTGAGGTAACACAACTGGTAAGACTTAAATTCACATGTTCTATGAGAACAAACTGCAGACATGCAATACATATATACACAGTCCCAGACAAGGACAGCCAGACACAGGCACCCAACACTGTTCCAGAGAAAGTAAGCTGAAGAGAGATGAAGAGAAGAGTTCTGTTTCTACAGTCTTTGTAGGTCAGATTAATCTATCACACATTTTAAACACCCCTTCTTGAGCCTGATGCACCTCACACAAACACCACATGACAGCAAATACCCAGGAAATGGAAGAAATGTAGAACACGTCTCAAGAACACACCATTGTCTTATAAAACAATAATGGTTCCAATGTCATTTTAAATCGTTCATAAATCTCCTCTCTAACTACTGTTGAGCAGCAAAATCAAGTAGGATATGTGCCCCATAGTAGTTCAGCCAGATACTTCGATATGACTATCTTTTGTTACCAAGCACAAGAACTTGTTAATTAAATTTGAAAGCACTCAAGTTACTGAAGCTCCTTTCATTGATTGAGTAACAATAATGGTTTGGTAACATTTTATCACTTTCAAAAAATTATGCTAGAAATTACACTATTTCTTAAGATAATTAAACTGTCTATGACCCAATCTGATGGACAGTTAAGTGAAATCCTAACTAAAGATGATAAATGATACAATCTATAAACTCAAAACAAATATAATTTGAAACTAAAGCAAAATGTACCTTGCAATAAACCAGCAGTATTTGTGACTGTTTGTGGTATATTACTGATCCTGGAATAACAGCCTGTCCTGTTAATTTTGGATCTGAATGGGGGAAAAAAAAAGATATGAGAGAGAGGAAAATAAATAATTAGGCAACTTTATGATACCTAAAAATCAAAAGCCACTTTGGGAAGCAATACTAGTGTTAAAGAGGACACATTTGCTGACGCTGACTTTGTAATACAAACTTACGACGGAGCCATGGTGTTCTGTGTACATCACCAACCCAAAGGAAAGCCTTCAATACATATAAGAAGCTACAAGTCCTTCACCCAGTCTCCCAGTGATCACCTAAAATGCTGACTCTAGAAGTTTTGTGTTACCATTTTGGGGAAATAACTACCCATCAGTAGAGAGATGTACAGGATGCTTAGGATTTAAGCTGGTCCTTCCATCCCTGCCCAAACAAGTCGCAATTCCCAGGTTCCTGGGGAACGCCAGCTACCTCTGGACTACACCAGCTCCCTCCGTGGCTCACTCTCCTCTGTCCACTATACTGGGAGGGCAGTGATGGGCCACAGAGTGGACCTGTGGTGTGAAATGCTACACCCTGCCTTAGATTTTCACTGAGCTGTTCAGATATTTTCATTATAATTGTCACCAGAATGAAATTAACCAAGTCATTTTACACTCCCTGAAAACCTTAATGTAGGAAATCAAAGAGCTTAAAATGGGATAGGAACACTGCTCTGCCTACTTCCCAGGGTCTTGTGATGATTAAATGAGAAAATACATGTGAATGCTGCGAAGACTGAAACAATAAATGAATATAAAGTATTATCATTATTTAACTGAAACAAACTGAAAGAATCCTTATTTTTAGTAAGTGTGACCTATGGCAACACAGACACATTTTCAAATAGACTGTAGCAAAAATATCTTCCGTGTCAGCTATCCAAAGTTAGTACCAGCAAGGATTGAATTGTTAACTTCTACCAAATCCAGAAGTTTAATGGCATTCTCCATCCAGAGTGTCTGCAATGGGATCTGCAAATAAAATTAAAGAAAGTATGATAAAGGAATACACTCAACACACAAACCCTTTCCAGCTACTATTTTGCATTAATATGGTTTGACTTTTCTCCCAATTACAGAGGAAATGGGCACTCAGTCACTAAAACTTTATAAAACAGAACATAAATGTGACCTCTGCATCAGTCTTTCCAGCATTTTATAAGATCTTAAACATTATTTTTAAGTCAATATTTATATCTTTCTTAATATTTCCATTTGAAAATTTATGCTCATTATAAAAAAGACAAGCATTACAGCATTTATGTTGTAAAAACTTTTAGAAAGTGATAGGATTCTGTATTTCTATCCCGAGGTAACAAATGTTAACAATTTGATGTGTATTTCCCTGTATTTTTTTCTACAAATATTATTGATATAAAAGTCTAGAACACACTGTTTCACAAGGAACTTTTGATAACCATAACGATGGACTTTTCATCAGTACACACTTATCTATTTCACTTGCATCTGCTGCACAGCATTCCAGTTTATGAATGTATAATTTATGCAACTAATGCCTTTATGATGGATATTTCAGTTATTCTCAATTTCTTGCTATTATAAAATTATAAAGTGTGGTAATCAACAGCCTTGTAGATATATCTTTCAGCACTTATATATTTCTGGAGAATAGTTTTGTTTTGTTTAAATGGAATGGCTGGGTTAAGGAACATCAACATTTTACTGTTAAATTGCTATGATAAGTGAAAAAAAATGAAAATCTATTGCTGTTTATTATTAGTAAGGCTAAGGAGCTTTCCATGTATTTACTTACATTTTTTATTTATTCTTCTATAAACTGCTTGTATTAGTCCATTTCTGTTGTTTATAACAAAATACATGGAACCAGGTAATTTGTAAGAAAACAAAATTTATTGCTTAGTGTTTGAGGCTGGGAAGTCCAAAGTCCAGGGAACACATGTGGTGAGAGCCTTGGTGGTGGCAACAGTGATGGCAGAGTATCACATTGTGAAAACGGTAGAGCAGGGAGAAAGACTCTTCAAGTGCTTTCCTTTCAAAGCTCTCAGAACCACGCCCCTGACCACCATTATTAATCAATTCAATACAGCATGGTCCTACAATCTAATCACCTCTTCGAGGCTCACCTTTCAATTACCGTAACAGGATTTCCCACCCTCAACAGTTACATTTGGGATTAAGCCTCAGTGAGGTTGAGGGGGCATGCAGTTTACAGCACTGCCTATTTATGCCCTTTGCCCATATTTTTAGAAACTGGGTTGCTCATCTTATTTATTAATTCATTTGCAAAAATCTTTTATATATAAGGAAATTAGCTTTTTTTTTTTTTCAAAAGATCTTAAGGGGATCTTAACCCTTGACTTGGTGTTGTCAGCACCACACTCTCCCAAGTGAACTAACTGGCCATCCCTATATAGGGATTCAAACCTGTGGACTTGGTGTTATCAGCACCACACTCTCCCAAGTGAGCCATAGGCCGGCCCTGGAAATTAGCCTTTTAACTCTTGTATGTGTTATGAATATTTTTCCCAGTTTGTTGACTTTTAGCCTTGGGAACAGTCATTTTTTCCCCCCATACATAATTTTATGAAGTTACATTTATGAGTATTTTCTCTCATGACTTCAGTGGTTCATATCATGTTTACAAAGGCCTACCTGACACTCTCAGATTATTAAATACTGTAAAATTATTCAACTGTGCTTTTTTCCAGCCCTTGTGGTTTCATTTTTTATAAGTAAATCCTTGATCCATCTAGGTTTATTTTGATTTTTTAATCTATTTTTATATCTATTTTTTCTATCCTATTGACAAATTTTAAGTGTACAGTATACTACTGTTAACTATATATGCATTATTGTACAGCAGTTATTTTTATTTTAAAAGGACTTGAGGGTTACCCCCTCCAATGGCTAGCTAGTTTCTCAATGATATTTATTGGATAATCCATCTCACCTTTCCCCCCAAAATGAAATGCCATCTTTATCATATAACACATTTCCAATATACCTGAGATTCCAGAACTTGATTTCAGTGTTAATAATGGGCTGGCCAGTTAGCCCAGTTGGTTAGAGAATGGTGCTGACAACACCAAGGTCAAGGGTATGATCCCTGTACTGGCCAGCGCCAAAAAAAAGAATGAATGCTAATAAAAATGAACACACACCAGGAAATAAGTTCTCTCAAATTTCTAAGTTGAGTACATTTATTTTCAGCTGTATTTCAATCCTCTATTTCACAGATGAAGAAAGTGAGGCTCAAAGAAATATTGCTATTTTCCCAAGGTTAGATGCAGCTATCAGCAGTGGCAGAACAAGGATCAGATTCTCTTTTCTGATTTTCAGCTGTGATCTTTTTATGACATCCCTTAAAGAGGACATTTAACTTTCAGAAGAGTTAGGTTGTTGGAATGATTTGAATATTAAATCAAAGAATTTAATAAATTTGAAGAAAAAGTTCATAAGTGTCCATCACCATCTATATGTCATATTTTGGTACAATATTCTCTTATATAACTTGCTGGCTCATTTTTCTTTCCCTTGCTCTCAAAAAAAAATATGAAATGATTTTCATGTGTGTAATTTTTTTCTTTCAAAGAACTCAATATTTTTGAAATATGCTTACAGACTAAAAAAAGATTTACATTTACTGAGAATAACAAACATGCTAAGCACATACTCAGAATAAACAGTTCTTGTTCTTGAGGCAGTAAAGTTCAACTTATCAGAGCACTGCAGAAAGGAAAGTGATGTTAAGAATATCATCATTTCAGTGTCTACCATCACTACCATCAAAACCATGTTTGCGTGGGCTTAAATTTCTCCACTGAATTGTCTTGGCACTGCAGAAAGGAAAGTGATGTTAAGAATATCATCATTTCAGTGTCTACCATCACTACCATCAAAACCATGTTTGCGTGGGCTTAAATTCACAGTTTATCTCCTTTGATCTTGACAGTTGTGTACAGAGTCCTTAACCCCATTTTAAAGGTAAAAAAGCAGAAACTCAGAGAAGGTAAGCACCTTGCTCTTGGTTAGTAAAGGGCAGCTCTAGGAATCAAACCCCACCTTCTGGCTCCAAGATATGTGCTCAGTCTTTTATAGCACACAGCTTTGTGTGAAGTAGTATCTCATTGTGATTCTGATTTGCATTTCCCTAAAGATTAATGAAGTAGATCATCTTTTCATGTGCTTACTGGCTATTTGTATATCTTCTGGGGAGAAATGTCTATTCACATTCATTGGCCATTTTCTCATTGGGCTATTTGTCTTTTTGCTGTAGAGTTGTAAGAGTTCTTTATATATTCTGGATACTAGACCCTTATCAGATATATGATTTGGAAATATTTTCTCCCATTCTGTCAGTTGTCTTCTTTACTGTCATGATAGTATCCTTTGAAGCACAACAGTTTTAAATTTTGATGAATTCCAATTTCTCTATTTTTAGTTCAGTTGCTTGTGCTTTATGGCATCACATCTAAGACACCATTGCCTAATCCAATGTCATGAATATTTACACCTATGTTTTCTTCTAACAGTTTTAACTCTTAGTCTCTGATCCATTTTGAGTTAATTTTTGCATATGATGTGAGGCAGGGGTACAAGTTCATTTTTTTTTTTTTTTAATTGTGGACATCCAGTTGTCCCAGTCCATTTGTTGAAAAGACTATTCTTTCTCCACTGAATTGTCTTGGCATACATGTTAAAAAAAATCAATTGACCAAAAAAATGTGTGAGTTTATTTCTAGACTCTCAATTCTATGGCTTTGCTGTAAGTTTTGAAATAGGAAACTGTGAGTCTTCCAATTCTGTTCTTTTTCAAGATTGTTTTGGTCATTCTGGACCCCCCATAATTCCATATAAATTTTAGGATCAGTTTGTCAATTTCTCCAAAGAAGCCAAATGGGATTTTTTACAGAAATTGTGTTGAATATGTAGATCAATTTGGAGAGTGAGACAACAATACTACTGCTGAGTTCATCCAATCAGTGAACACAGAGGTCTTTCCATTTACTTGGGTCTTTACTGTTTATTAGCTCTTCATGATTTCTTTTTTTTGGGGGGGATAGTTTTTTGGAGATTCTTTATGATTTTCCATATTTAAGATAATGTCATCTACAAATAGAGATAGTTTTACTTCTTCCTTTCCAATCTGGTTGCCTTTTTTTTTATTCCCTTTTTCCTTGCCTAATTGCCCTGGCTAAAACCTCTAGAACAATGTTGTATAGAAGTGATGAGAGCAGACATCTTTGTCTTGTTCCTGATCTTGGAGAAAAAGCTTTGGTCCTTCATTAAGATAATGTTAACTGTGGGTTTTTTGTACATGATCTTTGAGGCTGAAAAAGTACACTTCTATGCCTAGTTTATTGAGTTGTTTTTGTTTTGCATCTGGCTGATTTAGGGATTAAACCCTGAACCTTGGTGTCATCAGCACCACACTCTGACTGAACTAACCAGCTGGCTGAGTATTTTTTATTTTAATCATGAGAGGGTGTTAGATTTTGTCAATGCTTTTTCCATATCTACTGAGACAATAATGTGGCTTTTTAAAATATGGACTATTACACTGATGGATTTTCATATGTGGAACCAACCTTGCATTTCTGTGATAAATCCCTCTTAGTTGTGGTGTATAATCCTTACTGGTTGTTGGATTTAGTTTGCTAATTCTATTAAGAATTTTGCATCTATATTCATAAGGGATATTAACATATAACCCCTATAGGGTTTTTTTCTGTGATTCTTTTTTTTTTTTTTTTTCTCCTTTTTGTCTTTTTTACTGACCGGCAACGGGATTGCAACCCTCGGTGTTGTGCCCACACTGCGCTCAGCCAGTGAGCGGGAACCGGTCTCCACATGGGATCCGAACCCTCGGCGGGAGCGCCGCTGTGCTCCCAAGCGGCGCACTCTCCAGTGTGCCACCGGGCCGGCCCTTTTTCTGTGATTCTTTATCTGGGTTTGCCCACCTTGGGTTTTGTACCAGCTGTTTCCTCTACCCAGAATATTCTTTCTCTGATCTTGGCATAGTTGGCTCCCTATTGTCTTTCAGATCTCAGCTTAAATGTCAGTTCAGAGAGGCCTTCCCCATCTACCTAATCTAAAATAACCTCCAGTTATTCTATCACATTATCCTATTTTAATTTCCAACAAGGAACTTACCACATTATCTGATAGTTTTCCTTATTTGTTTACTTATTTATTGTCTGTCCTCCCACACCACTTATATCTCTAGTACCTAGCACACTGCCTGACATACATCAGGCCCTTGGTAAATATTGTTTTTAATATATGAATGACTAATAGCAGCTGTCATTTAATAAGTACCTACTCTGGGCCAGATACTGTATTAGATGCTTTACATACATTATATCAGCCCTAATCTTCCAATGAATAAACTAAGAGGTTAAATAACTTTCTCAAGTCCCAAAGCTAGGAAGTAGCAGAGATAAGATGGAACCCAGCTTTGTTTGGTTCTAAAGTCCATGATACCTGATGCCACTCTGCTGCAGCAGAAAAAGTATAGGATTTGAGGTCAGACAGATCTCATTCAAAACTGACTCTGACTCTCCTTAACTAGCAATATGATCTCAGGCAACACTCAATAACAATTCACTGAGTATCTACTTTAAGCCTCAATTTCTTCAACTTTAAAATGGGATGACAGGGCCGAGCCTGTGGCGCACTCAGGAGAGTGTGGCGCTGGGAGCGCAGCGACGCTCCCGCTGCGGGTTCGGATCCTATATAGGA